AAACCTCTTTATATATATATATATATATATATATATATATATATATATATATATATATATATATATATATATATATATATATATATATATATATATATATATATATATATATATATATATAGAGAGAGAGAGAGAGAGAGAGAGAGAGAGAGAGAGAGAGAGTGGAAGAGAGAGAGAGAGAGACTGTTAGTCTATATTTATTTTATATTAATTGAACTTCAATAAAAAAATATAACAAAAATTATTAAATTAAAAAAAATATATTCCTATCAAGAAAAGAAAAGAATCCAAAAATGAAGGGTTAACCTTAGATAAGATTACTAATACTTTACATAAACTGCTATCAAGAAAAGGATAGAATCTAGAAATGAAAAAGGCTTACCTTTAATTACATTACGTGAATATCAAAAAAAGGTAAGAATCCAGAAATGGAGGGCTAACCTTAGGCAAAATGATAGTACACAGATGAATCGCACAGTCCTATGGCTTACCTTCTCAGTGATGCACTTTGTTAAGCAAATTAGACTTAAAATTACATGTTTAATTTATGAACGAAATAACCAAGGCAAAATTAGAAAAATTTCTATAAAAAATAGATACTAAAAAAGCAATACATAACAAATTTAGTTATTATTTAATGACATAAAGAGCGGCGTCACTCCTAAAAATAAAGCCGTCCGGGGCATGTACGACCCACCCTTGCTGCGCCTTTTTCTGTCCCTTCACTTTTGAAATTAACTATACTTAAACCCTAGGGAGGTTGGGGGTGGAGTTTTATTTAAAAAAAAATGTCTTATAGAAATTCCAGCAACAGTATTAAGTCAAACAGGTGCATTTGAATGAAAAATCTTTGATTTTATAGAACTTCTCTGGAGGGAAATTCTAGACTTTCCACTATTATCCAATAAATCAATCTATATGACAAAAACGAAAAAGAAATCATTTGATAGATTCAATGCAAAACTATCTCAATTATTTGATGTCACCAACATTAATGGCAAATGGAAAAGCACAAAGGATAAAGAGCTTTACCAGAGGCAAGTTAAGAGTGGAGGAAAGATTGGTTATCGATGGTCAAACAACCCTCTTCGGAATCAATCCACCCAAGAAAATGAATTCCAAGAAAATGAATATCAAAAAAAAAAGAAATCTCTACTTCTTCACCCGAGTTGCCAACCTCTTCTTCTTTGTCATCTCTTAAATGGAAACTGAAATACTAAGGAACAAGTACTTAAGCAGCTAGTTTACTAGTACTGAAAAACAACATTTCTATACATAAAGCACATGATGTTCGTGCAACCATTGCTGAACAGGGTCATAATGTGCCGGTTCTAAGTCAGGCAGATGTGTGAAACAAGTAATCTCTGAAGAACAGAAAATGAAAAAACAAAACTTTTTAAAAACTTTAAAGCAAAAATCCTTTTTATAAATAAAAATAATTACCCAAAAATTGGGTAAATATTTTAAATGATAATCTGTGACACAATTTCAGTAAATACTGGTTGTTTGCACGGGATTGTAAAGCTCATACAAAATGAAGGGCTTTAAGAAACCACAATATATTGACTTTCAGCACTACGTACTTGATCTCCTTCTGAAACATGTCATAAATTTATTAGAGAGCCAACGAGCAAACAAGATCTCAACTACTCTTTTATTAACAAATTTACAAAAAATTATGTCTCTCGAATCAGCTAGAAGAAAATCCCAAATTTTCATCAGGCAAGATGGAACTCGCATGCAAAATATACTGTTATAGCATTCTTTCTGATACCAGATTGGCGCAGCATCCTTGCTGCAGCGTGAAGCTTTTTCTGCTACGAATGAACAAATACTTGGTTCCATTTGCAATACTACAATTAAACGTCCTTCAATGAACTACTTACCTCACTCATTAAGATAAGATGCAAGAAGGCAACTAAGTTTTTAAAGACGCATTAGTCTATGGAGGTGTCATTAATTGACATTCCTAGATTTAATCAAATTGCTGAACGTGCTAAAAAAATGATAGAGGAACTTCATGCGAAATCGAAAAAAATTGAATTTTCGAATCTGAAATTCATAGGGAAATATATTTTTACAGACTACTAACTGTTCTGTATCTTATTTGTTAACTTTTTTTTTCCGAATAGGAGAGCAGGGAGAAGGCGTTTAGATTTTTTAAAAAAAATAAAAAATGCAATTTTTATTCTTAAATTGCATGAAAAGTTTCCTCTATAGTAAGTAGTTTTATAAAAAACACTTTTTGTAACAGACAAGCTTTAAAGTAAATTTTTGTTTTGAACAAAGAACTAGGTGCGTAACAACTTTTAAGATGTTTAAGCTTCTTGAGATATTGCTTCATAAGACACCTAACTGCCACCTAACCACGTAACTCTTGCTGTTTATATGCGATAGAAAAAAAGGAGACAGTAAAAGATGTTTTCTCACAAAAATTAGCTTCTATTTAAGGCAACTGAACCAAATTTATACAATATTTAAATCTATCATTTAAATATTGTATACATTATGTTTCTTGCTTCATCATTTAGTAAACTTGGAACTGATGTTGAAAGCAGCCGAGGCGCAGTGGTCAGAGTTTTAACTCAGAGCCAGGAGGTTCTTGGTTTGGCGCCGGCTCTAGCCCAATAAGCTTAAATTGATAAGGAATAATATGAATAACAATAAATGAGCACCTCAATAACTAAAAAAAACCGTTGAGGTAATGGGGTAACTATAAACTGCTGAATTTTATAGTTACCCGGTTGACGGTACCATTCAATTCATAACACTTAATCCCATAATATATATATATATATATATATATATATATATATATATATATATATATATATATATATATATGTATATATATATATATATATATATATATATATATATGTATATATATATATATATATATATATATATATATATATATATATATATATATATATATATATATATTATCGTGAAAGTTGTCTGCATTATCATGAAAGTTAGTATGCTTCCAATGTTGGAGAGAAGGGAGATCGAAAACCTCAGTCTAAATCTGTCATTTTAGTTTAAAATAAAAGCATTGTCATGACTCCCAATATAATCTTGATAATAGTATAATAAACTTTAATAATATTAATATTGTATTTAATATGATATAAAATTGTAGTTATTAAATCCAAGAATTATACATTATTGTTATTAATATTATTAATTATAAAATTAATGTTGTTTGATAATAAAAACATGTTAAATACGTTTATTAAGTCAATTATGACTTGAGTTTATTAAATTTATTAGTTATAATAGTATTGTTATAATATTAGTTATAATATTAGTTATAATAGTATTATAATTGTTATTAGCAATATTGATAATTAGAGCCGATGACACCAGGAAAGGAGGGTGGGTCACGTGCCCCTCTCCCCTCTACTTTTTTTCTAAAGGAACTTTTTTTTTTTAAGAAAACTCTTAATATAGAAGATTTTATTTAAGAATTGACGATTGTGCCCCTCATGTCGTCGGGTAATAAAAAAGTAATAATACTTTTATTAAAATTATTAATTTAATAATTAATTACATTTTTAATTTGGTGTATGAAATCTTTTTTAAAAAAAAACCTATATAGAAACTATATATTACAATAAATGTTGAAATGGTGAAAGGTTTTCAATGAAACTAAAAAATATAAATCTAACTAGTTCAATCAAACTGCAAAACAACTTGATGACTTGTTGTTATGTCTAAAAGAATTATGGGTAAAAAAATATGCTATAAATGGTATGAACAATCTAAGTCTGTTATGAATGATGATAGAGTAAAAAAAGTAAAGGAAAGATTGCAAGTCAGGAATTTTTACTGGCAAAAAGATAAAATAGTTTCTCAAACTTTTGATTGTTGCATTAAAAAATCCCGACTTGCTGCCGATATTGTTTTAAAAGAATTAATATTTTCTTGATAAAACTCAGTGTTCTTGATAAAACTCAGTGTTCTTGATAAAACTTAAAACTATTGTTTTAAAAGAATTAATAATTTTCTTGATAAAACTCAGAAACTGTTATTTGTTAACTATAAAAAATTTAATAAAATTATTTAAAAAGTATATAGTCGATTATCAGCGATTTCTTGTTAATAAAGAACATTATATCTAAAACTATTGCTAAAAAATCTTTTTTTTAACAATTACTTTTAAAAGTTTGAAATTAAAACTTTGTAGTGAAAACAAATGTTTGAATAACTACATTAACTTTATTTGTTTAAGTTTAACGACTCCTTAAAAAGTGTTAAAATTTCAACGAAAGAGTAATAAAAATCAACAAATTATATCTTTCGTTGAAATTTTAATACTCCCAAAAAAATTTTAATACTCCTTAGGGAATCGTTAAAGGAAATAAAAATTTATTAACTGTGATTAAATTTTCTATAAGAATATTCATCACAGTTAATAAATGAAATTTGTTTTTTTTGATATAACCAGATAAAGTTTATTTTCACAATAAAAGTTTTTGTGTCTAAAAATCTAGTGTTATTAGTATAATCATGCCAGTAATATAGAAAACAATTAAAACTTTATTGTTTTTAATAGGTGCGTTCCTGTTCCAATGAACAGTCTGCTCGATAGAAAGTTCGACAACGTGCCGAGAATTTTTTTGACTGAAGGCCAACTTAAAAAAATGGCGGATTAGTAATAGTTATAACTTTGCCAAAATTAAATATACAAATAATTAACAGTCGTTAAATGAACGGACATAATTTGGACGTCCTGTAGACGTTCGTTTATTCAACGCTTTATTCACCTCATTCTCATACCGCTCATTCAACGCTTTATTCAGCTCATTCTCATACCGACTCCATTCCTAACAGCTATAAAAAATAGAGTTTTGATATAAGAAATGAAATCTTTTTTAAATTCAATATAAACGGATTTAGGGATTCAACACGTGTGGCAACCCTCATTAAGATAATAATAAGGTTATTGCATCAATAAATAAATCCCAGTATAGACACAAATCATTACAAAAAAATTAAAAGAGTAATATCTTTGACAATATTAATATATAATTACAATCTAGTAAAAACATTAATTTTTGACTCGTTCTAATATGTCGCCAATAGCACCCTCGATGTTGCTTGCATCTTAACCAATTTTGTCACCAACAATTGTTTCTAAAAAAAATAATATTTATCACAAAATTAAGTTCAAAAACAAAGTAAAGAAAATTTGCTTTTGAATTTAATTGCCAAAAAGTCAACAAACTAAAAGACACCCACAATAAAAATTTATTTTAAAATATTTGTTATCATTGTTGGTAGGTCACACATAAAAAAAAGGTAAGTTAAAGTAAAAAACAATCGCCAATTATTTGCAAACAATAAGTAGGAGAAAATGAGTAATATACTACTGTTTCACGTTCTGCTATTTACTGTTAACAAAAAAAAACTTCAATCAATGCTCACCTTTTAATCATTTATAACGAGCAGTGTTTGTACATTTTTCTTTTTTTTTTTCTTCCATCCTTACTAAAAAAGAAATTTGGGTGGTGATACCCCCTCCTCCCCGGTGTAATTTGACGGAAAATCGGCGTTTTTTCGTAAAAAAAAAAAAAATATTTGCCGTAAAAAACGTAAAAACGTAATAAAAAAAAAAAAAAGTCATTTGGGCGACGCCTAAATCGGCGCCCAAATACGGTTTTAATATGTCAAAAACGGTCTAGAATAGATCCTGACAAGATATATGAATGTATTCAAGGTAAGTGAATGTATCAACATTAAAAAATTTTTTAATTTAGAGGAATGCTTTTTTAGCCATTTTATAATCATGGTTTCACAGTTGTGTGGCTTTAATAGCTCTGCTGCTTACTCTAACTAATAATAGCCATCCTGTTTTATCCTTTATATATTTAATAATCTCAAAAAATTTATAATAATTTTTTTTTTCATGCGAAGAAAAAAATAAAATAAAAAACTGACGTTATTTGTCATCTCTTGAAACAAAACTCGACCTTCATTAATTTTCCTAAACTTCTCAACGCATTTACAACTTTTTCTATCATAATCAACAATTATTTTACAAGAATTAGAAGCCACAGATGACGAAAAAAATTGCTACTTTCTCTTTTTCTTTAACTTCAAACTTGTTCGAGCCTATATTCATTATACATATAAACACACTTATATTTTGGAATAGCCACTCTTTTTTTATCATTGATTGTTGTATATATATATATATATATATATATATATATATATATAATATATATATATATATATATATATATATATATATATATATATATATATATATATATATATATATATATATATATATATATATATATATATATATATATATATATATATATATATATATCCCAGCCGGCATTATTACGTTGTTTCAACGTTGAAATTCGGTTGAAGCGTTGATTCAACGTTGTTCAACTATGTCACAACGTTAAATCAACGTTACCGTTTAAACGTTGATTGTTTAAGGAAATTGATAACTTTAAAAAAAAACTTCAGCACGAAATAAAAAAATAAAAATTTATTTGAAAAATTAACTTCAACCACATCAGTTATTACTATGAAAACAGACAAACTTGTATATAAACATAATCCAAACAAATCGTGTTATTGCAATTTACTTGTATACAAACATTTATTTTAAAAATAATAGATCTTGCGACTTTTATACTGGCCTTACATCTGTCAATGTGTTTCATCAGTTAGTGCAGTATCACCATTAATCAAAAGAGATAAAGTGATATTAAAAAAACATTTACTTCTGTTTTTTGAAATTTAAAAAAATCCTTAACTACTTGGACCAAAATAAATGTAATGCAGCAAAGATGAATTTTTAATGATGCTAATACTTGGATTATTGACAGCTGATTTTGCTGACAGGTTTAATATATTTTTAGGATTAGTGAATGCAATATTTTCTTCATTGTTAAAAGCTTCTAGCTCACTTTTAAACCACATGGTTTTTGTTCCAAGTAAAGATGTTATAAGACAGGCAATGCAAAACAGATTTTAGAAATTAAATTATTCAGACTAACACTAAATTTCAGATATAACAGAATTTATTATGGAAACACCTTAAAATTTTGACTTACAGAAACTAACAGGGAATGAATACAAACATTACAACAATATAAAAACATTAGTACCCGTAGATCCAAATTCATCAATAATTCCTTTTAAAAATTTCTAAAGCTTACAGAAGCTAAATTTTGGATAAAAAAGTTACATATCGCAACATTTATTTCGATTGCATTACAAAATACTCTTGTATAATGGCTTTCTTGTATAATTAAGGCTTTAATATTAATTTTTTAATACAAATGAAGTGATTTTAATAAAATCCATTTTTATCAGTCACTTTAAAAATATGATGAGTATTTGTATAAAGATAATTAAAATTTCAAACAATAATATTAGCTTTACTTGTTTAGTTTTTTTAGGTGAATCAATTGCAATTGATGGAATATCTTTAAAATGCTGAGGTAATCAAAATAATTTTTAATTATTCAGGAATTTCAAGGATTAAATTATTTAGCAAAAAAATTGTTTAATAATAAGTTCAATTTAAATTAAAAAAAAAAATTAATATTAGTTCTCGCATAATTAATATCAGTTCTCTTATCTATTAAATTTTAGAATATTTTCCAACAATTTTGTGACCTCCAAGAATATGAAGGAAAAGGTGGAAATATGCTTTAAGAGCACTAATTTATATGGTGTAGTGAAAGGTATACCTTTATAAGATATGTAAAACTTTTTTATTCTCATTTTTTATATATTTAAAAATTTCTCCTTGTGTTTTTTTTTTGTTGTTTTTTTTTCTAATTCTTTTTTATTAACTGCTTCTTCTATTAAATACGATGGAGCGACTGAAACTTTAATTGATGGCATTTTGTCTAACTTCTAAAAATGCTCTTCATTTCGAAAAGGTGGCGGAAAAGAAAAAAATTTAGATTGATTGATATAAATTTATATTTATAAAAATCGATCTAAAATTTCTTTATTAAAATATTTACATATATTTCAATAAAGAAATATTTTCTTTTTGTCTGCTAATATTTTTTTTTTCAGTGTTAATTCAACATTACAAATTAAAACTCAATAATGAAAAAAGCCTAGAATTGAGTTGATGTTTTAAGTAAAATAAGAAAAGCCCAAAAAGTAACTGATGTAATATTTTTATTTTTTGATAAAAAAAAATTCTAATAATGTTTAAAATTGGTATTAATATTAATGTTTATTAAATGAAGATGAGTAAAAAATAAGTAATGTTTATTAGATGAAGATAAGTAAAAAAATAAGTTACAAGTTATTTTTTGGTCTTGAAAATTGTTTGAATGATAATTTATTATTTATCAAAATATTTTCTTTTTTAATTTTTGTTGTTTTTATATTTTAATTAAAAATAGATATTATTGTGTCATATATTATAATATACCTTATATTATACTATTATATTTTATATTAATAATGAATATTTTTGTTTTTTTGTATTTCTATTTTTTTTTCAATATTCCATAATTATCTTATGTAGATGTTTATGTTTTAGCAACCTAGTATTCTTTCATTATTTGTCTTTGTTATTGAGCCTTAAGTTATTTGAACATAATGTATTCAGAACTCTGCTGAATAATAGAGTAACAAATAAATTAATAAAAATGAGTTTAAAATATAATAAATTTATAAAATAAAGAAAATCTTATCTTTGCTTATAATGTCTACTTATATTATTGTTTAGCAAGTATCATGGTTATAAAATGTTCGTTTAATTAGGCCTGTTAGTACACTTATATTATGGTTTCTTCATTTTTATTAGTTCATGTAATTTTTTTAAAATCAAATATGCGGAAAGGAGCTGTTTGGAATGGAGATTTACAAGAAGAAGTAATTCCATCTGATTGGATTAGTGATAAAACTGTTTGTCGGCTTCCAGGTACCAAAGCATTGACTGCACTAAAATGCAGAGAAGAATTGGCTTAAGTTTATACAAATAAAAACTAAATTCTCTTCAGGTATTACATCTATATATTACAATTGTTATTTTTTAAATAATGTGGTAAGAAGAGTTATTTTGTTGATACAAAAAATATAACTATTTGTATAACTATTTCAATTCTAAAAGAAAGCAAACAGTATTGTGAAAATTTTAAATTCACAACTACAAAAGAAAAATGTTATAATGAGAATGTTGACAAGTGGATGCAAGATTTGCACACAAGTGGAAACTTGGATGCAAATTTTCCACTTGTGTGGTTTGGATGGTTCTCCACAATATAATATATCTCCACAAGCATAATATTAGATTTACTTCATGTTTTTTTTACAGATAAATCAATTACAGTTAATTGGTGGAGTTACCTCATTTATAATCAGGGTGTCTGCAGCTCCTCTAAAATCCTCTAATATCCTCTTTTTTTAAAACCACTTCTAAAATCCTCTATTATCCTCTAAAGAGGTAAAAATTTGATCAAAGCTCCTCATTAATTCTTCCTTTTTTAATTTTTGATGGATGTATAATGTTCAAAATACCCATTCTCGGTCTGCAAAACTGGTTAACGCCTTAAAGTGCATGGAATTGTAAAAAATTGCTTTAGAAAATGCATGCTATTTAACATAGCAAATGACATTATTTGATCCCTGTCCAAGCCCCATAATACCCATTCTCGGTCTGCAAAACTGGTTAACGCCTTAAAGTGCATGGAATTGTAAAAAATTGCTTTACAAAATGCATGCTATTTAACATGGCAAATGACATTATTTGATCCCTGTCCAAGCCCCATAAGTGTATAAACATGGACGTTAAACCATTAATAAATGGCCACATAAAATTTCTTATAAAAATTTTATGTGGCTGCCCCGAAAATTATTTTTCAATGCTAGAAATGTTTTATATTTTGATTATTAATTTATTTTTAATATATTAAAAAGGTTGTTTTATTTAAATTAAGTATTTGAAAAAGTTATTAATAACCAAAACTCGAAAAGTTATATGGCCTCCATGGATATGAAGGGCAAAGGTGGAAAAATATGTTTTAAGAACACTAATCTATATGGCGTTGAAAAAGATATACCTTCATAAGTTGTAACACTTTTCCATTCATTATTTATTTTTTAAATCTTCCCTTTTTTTTTTTTTTTTTTTTTATATATATTTTTATTTACAGCTTCTTATATTGTACTCAATGGACCAAAAGAACCCTCGGTTAATGGAACATTGTTTGACTTT